ACTAGAAGATGACATGTGTCACCCAAGTTATTTATTTATTACAAGTATAGATATATACATGAGACTTGAATACAATAATATGTATATTTATATTTGTTTCTAAATAATAATAAATTGATTATAATTAATATAATTATATAAAATGAAGATAACGCTTCTAATACCTTATGATCATTGTCAATTATATTATTTACATAACACTCTTATATATTATTTTTAAAAAATAGTACATTTACTGAATAACCAAACACACGAGTTTCAATCAATTTTTTGGTACATAATATTAAGAAAGACAAGATTAACCGAGGTTGTTCAAACAGACATAAGGTAACTAAAAGGTATTACCGTAGCAATTGAGATTATGGATTTTCAATTTATAGGGTGTAGTATGGGACCCATAGTCGGAGAGAAAATTACCCGTTTGATTGAATACGCGAAGTTGGGATCATAAAAGTTAGTTGGGAAATTGTGAACTTGGATTTTACCGATAGTGCAACTTCTGTACTTTGACAGTGTATAACTCACAAACTGTAAGTCAAAATAAACTCGTATTTTGCAGTTAGAAAGCCCTTACTATATACTACAACTTTCATGAAGGGTCGAAAAGCCAGTTATGACTCTAAGTGGTTCGAAACATTGTGTTTCCGACGCTGTTTGCACCGTATTTAGGATCAATATGTTGTTTTTAAAATTCGTATAAAATATATGGATAATCAAAATGATGTGGGTGGATTCATATATCAAAGGTAATATTGATTCTTATTAATTTAATATATAAATGTGATCAACGACTCATTTAGCTAACTTCAATAATTTTAAAAAAATTATCGTCATCGCGCAACGCGCGATATCAAACACTAGTTATAATATAACTTGACAACTTGATATTCATCCAGAAGATGGATACGAAATAAAAAGAATTAGGCTTATATAAAAAAAATATCATCATATTAAATAGGAATAAAAACAAAATTTATTATATTTTAAATATATTTATAGGCTTTGATTATGTAGGTTAAACCAAAGTCTTTGTTACATAGAGATGGCATCACTTGTTGAGTTGTTTCTTGTTCTTTTCCAAATGTGATTTTCAACCACCAAATCCTTGTTTGATGCATCAAACCTACAATATTTTGTTTTAAATCAATTGTTTTCTTGTTTTTGCTGTGAAGGTTCGGATTTTTTTTACATTCATAACATTTTGTTGTGAAGTTTGAAGTGTAAAAATGTTGTCTCACGAAAACATGCTAGTCTCACGTGAACCCAACCCTATAGATATAAATATAGATATAGATTATATTTAGAGTAATATTAAAATACTTACTAAACAAATTAGATATAAAATAATTATTATATTTACATGTTTAAGGTTTAACAGTATTATTTGTAACTGAAAGTGAAAGTTTGCTTTACCATTTATCTATACCTCTAATTCAATGGGTAAGGTAGGATACAGATAAAAGTTACAGAAGATAGATAATTACCCATTTCGTTATAAAATCAGTCGACTACCTCATGAACTCATTCCTGATGTAACACCCTCGAACTGGAACCTACAGGTGTGTCACATTACTGGTTTTCTAAAACTTTTAAAATGTGGACATTTATACAAGAATTTTAATGAAAACTGATTCAAAAACAAACTTTCTGTTATAAAGCAGAGTACGATACAACATATCGTATTTCAATGATCATAGTAAAACCACAGTACTAAAACTATAAAATCAGATCATCAACATTACTATATCTATATTTCTGATCGCGTGATTCCTCCATGTTTTAGTGGTGGGCATTTTGAGCGGGTCTGGAGTGTCGGAACGAATAGTGATATACTCAGACCAGATTGACGGTTCGTTATCGGCCCAAAGAGTTCATGGTCAAACTGATTTTTTTAAAGCCAGTAATAAATACATCGAAAATAGATAATAGAAAGAAAAAAAAAAAACACTCATTAGTCGATTTAATCTTTTTTTTATATAAATTTTATTTATTTGTAATGCAAAATAAAATACACCAAAATTCATAATTTTTATTCCTTCAAAATCTATACTATATTATAAAACATTTGACAAAAACTCTTAAAAACCACTTTTTATGCATAAAGTATTGTTTATTAATGCATGTTATTTAAAACTTAATATTACAAGTATATTGTACGTAAGTACAACTTATTAAAGCTCCATATCWGAATTTGTGTAACTAACTGCAGATAAATATAATCAAATGCAGGATAAACATTTCATTTTAAATATAAAAATTCTAAAATATAATTTGGATAATCATTAAGTTTAATAGAATACTTAATTATTATTTTTATAAAATGTTATATTATTAAACAAAAAATAAATATTTTCATTATTAAACTTCAATTAAGGGGGTGTTTGTGATTGCTTATAAAAGCTGCTTTTTAACTTATTTCAGTATGACACGGGTGATAAGTTGTTTTCTGGTGTTTGGATAAGAAAAAAAAACTGCTTATATCGGTGCCAAACCGGTAATAAGCTGTTTTTGATAAGTTAATCCTTCATGACTTATGAAAAACTGTTTATTACCAGTTTATAATTTTAACCCTATTTTATTTAACTCCGGTTTGATACCACATAAGTTAATAAACACTTTTACAAAAAAAAACATAAGTTGTTTTAAATAAGCAATCCCAAACACCCCTTA